CTTATTAAAATGATTTTTTTCCAAAATGAAAATTCATCAAAATGAACACATTCCCATGAAAAGTTTTGCTTTCAACAAAAGGGAATTTTCTGATGTAAAAAATGTTCAGTTGGAAAAAAATTTAGCAGCTCTACTGACACTCCTTTTCTTTGCTGCCTGCAAGCAAACAGCCTGGAATCTGAGATTCAAGTTGGGTTCTTTCTGATCTGCGTATCACCTACTTCTGAGGGAATTCTACACCAAACAATTAAAAATTCTGTGCACAATATTTTAAAATTCTGCCTATTTTATTTGTCAAAATAACACAATATAATCACACCATTTTCAACTATTTGCTGACAAGTATTTTGAAATAAATTACCAAAAGGATTGAAAATGGTGTGATTATATTGTGACTGTTATTTTGACAATTAAAATATGCAGAACTTTGCAGAATTTAAATTTTTTAAATTTTTTGGTGCAGCATTCCCTCAAGAGTACCAGTGTTCTGTGTGGCGCAATCGGGGTGCGGGCAGCTCGGTCGGGGATCTGGGTGCAGAGGGAATCTGGATGCACAGAAGCTTGATGCGGGGTTCTGGGTGCAGGGGGAATGGGACTCTGCAGGGGAGTCCAGGTGAAGGTGGTTAAGGCTCAGGGGGGGGGGGGGGGGGGGGGGGGGGGGGGGGGGGGGGGGGGGGCGCGGGGGGGGGGGGGGTTGAGTGCACGGGCGGAGGAGGGATCACTGTACAGGGAGCTGCTCCCTCTGTCGGCCCAACCCCTGTGCATCGAGACACCCTTGGACCCAACCTCCGCCACTTTTCAAACAAGGATTCTCTCTCTTAAAATTGCTGGTTTTATTTGAAGTGCATCAGTGTTCTGAATTGTTGTCTACATTTATTCTACATTTTAAACTTTTTATCTGGGAATATATTTATCTTTCTGGTGTTGAGAAGATGTCTACTTCAACTAGCCAGAAGTCTAAACCTTCTGTAAGTCACTGATCTAATCTTTTATTATGCTTAGATGAGCTAATAAAACAACCTGGGATATTAAGAAGCATGTGTTGCCAATGGGAAAAAATGGTTTGTCAAAACGATTATATTTTTATTAAGCCATGAGAGCACTCAGTCAGATCCTATTTTGTTATTACGCCAAACAAGTCCACTGTTCTTCTAGGGAAATGAGTTCAAAAGGACTGGCAGAGAGCGCTTGTCAGCACATCGTGAGCTCATTTATGTGAAAAGCTAGATCAGTTTTGTTATCCTCTTACTTGCAAAATTAGCCGAACTATTTCTGAGAACATGAAGCATGTTTTCATCTGCACCGCCTAAGTCTGATGGTGCTGACAGAGAAAGATGGATTAAGAATTTTTCGCTATTTCCCACCTTTTTTCTAAATACCACCTGTAGAATGTATCAGTAGCTAACCAATAGCAAACCATGGGTCTAGACTTGCATAAATGAGTTATTATAGGAGGTGGAATAAGCGTGAATAGGTTTTGGTTCCTCCCACAAAATAATGCTATGTATTATCAGTAGAGATGGGTAATTAGCTATGGCTGATACCTGTTTTACAAAAATATAGGAGTAGCTTCAATACTTGAAATATCTTACAGACCATGCTCCCTTTCAGGGCCATGGAGAAGAGACATTCTAACCTTTAACTGGTGCCCTAGTTCTGTCCTGACCATGAGTGATTTGTCACCATTTTGACCTGTACCAGTCCTTCTGCCCTGATGCCTGCATAACTACCACTGGAGTCAACGGGGAAGTTTGTATGCACAAGGACTGCAGGATCAGATTTTAACTAGTTCCCATGAATACTGAAACAGAAGCACATTCCCTTTTACTTCCTCTACAGTGTTGCTGGGTGGCTTTGCGTAATGTCCCTTTCCATTCCTTGGGAGGTTCTGCCATACTGACTTCAGACTTAGAGAGCAAAATAACAAGAGGTTCATTTTTATTCAATTCCACATCAGTATGCTGCCTAACAAACATGCTGTTTATTTTGATATCACAGATCCCTATTGGCACAGAGATCGAAGGGATGAATATTCTGGGACTGGTTTTGTTTGCTCTGGTTTTGGGAGTAGCTTTGAAAAAGCTTGGCCCAGAAGGAGAAGAACTGATTCGTTTCTTTAACTCATTCAATGAGGCAACTATGGTCTTGGTGTCTTGGATTATGTGGTAAGTGTGGTTGTAAATACGTTAACATGACAGCAGTGCTTCCTGGCTTAGGAATGTCTGTCTTTACCTGCCTAGCTGGGTTTTTGATGCCACATCCATCACCAGAGTAAAGAGTGAGTGGCCTTCCATCCATGCAATGAGTCTGATACTTGATGGCTGTTTTGCCCACTATATTTTCTCCTGTGTTTATCAGTGTTGCCTCTCGAAAATAAAGAATGCAGCCTCTTTCTTTGCACATGAGCAGTAGGCAGAAGGTCGCTCGCACCGTAGGCTGTCTCTTGAGAATGACAGACAGTCCTCTAGGAATCAGCTGCAGGACTCAATTTTGATTACTTTGAAAATCAAGCCCTATTTTTTCTAAGCATCAGAAACCTGGGTGAGAACACAATTACATGCCTAATTTTATGTGATGTTACTGTGGCTGCACAAGCAAGTTGGGAATTTGTACACGCAAAACCCCAATTTGCATGCGCAGTTGTAATAATTGCACATGCAAACTAGGTGCACAGTTGTGATCACATATTTTAGTTCATTCCTTTATCTTGTGATTATTTGAAACTCAGGCCCTGAATACAAACTAAGCTATAGCAATACGCGCAGAAAAAAGAAGACGTTTAACAATAACACAACATTATTTGGGTTCCAATGAATGTCTGCTGCTGAAGAAGTGCTTGGTTACAGAACTGACAAAACACAACTGAAAACCTCAGTCCCTTCATATAACAAGAGTAGTTAGTAGTTCCCATTAGAGTGACAAAATAGGGGAAAATCTTGACCCTATTTGAAGTCAACAGGAGTTTTGTCATTGACTTCAGTGGAGCCAGGATTTCACCTTAGATCTTAGGTCTCAATTCATATAGGAAAGACCTCTTTCACGTTCCTGGGTGGGAAGGGAATGTGGGAGCCAATACTTTCAACATACAGATAGGATCGTCAATTTTAGTTGGACATATTCCTGGAGGTTTCATCACATGACATAATCGTTAGTTAAAGATTAATCTTTACTTCCTGGAGACTCCAGGACAATCCTGGAGGCTTGGCAACCCTACCTACAAACCAACATCTCATTAACATTCCTAATCTCCCAGAGAGCCCTCCACAGCCCTGCACCCTCATCTGCTGGATGCCTATGTATTTTCTAAGGAGGCCGAACCTCTGATGATAATTTATTTTATCTCCTCTACAGAGTTGTAATTAGTGGGACCTCCCCTTCACCCACTTCTCTGGAGTCCATGCCTACATTTCTGCGTGACATTTGCCATGAGAGTTTTAGATCCCTGCTAAAGTATGAGGAGAACTAACTATCCTACTATCCAAAGTATAGAAATGAAAAACCATAAGTACAATTACAGTGAAAGATAGCTGGAATTCATTTGTCCCAACATTGTACAAAAGCTAAGGTCAATCATAAATGTTTCCAAGATTATATATATTTTAATCCAGTGGAAATCTGTTTTTTTTTATTTAAGTTTTTAAAAAGTAAATATTCCCATGTGGTAGTTGCAACTTGACCAGTGCAACATTAAGACTATAAAGGAAAGTAAAAGTGAATCCATTGATTTGTTTTTCATTGTCTAAGCTGAGAGCAAAACAAGAAGTAAAGAAACAGTGGAAAGAAGAAAGTGGAATTTTAAACACTCTTCCAGGTTTAATAATCTAAGGTGCAATTATTGATGGGGTAAGAGACGGTGTTAATTTTAGATCAGATTTGCCAGCTGAAAGACTCGATGTCCACATGGATAGGTTGGTTATGACTCTTCACAGTGAGCAACTCATACTTAGCAAAGACCTCTGAAAAGTTCTGCAGTTTCAAAGCATGTTTCTAAAACCACTCTGCTGGAAGAGTAACTTGTTTTACACCAGTTTAAGTGAAATCCAAACCAGAGCCCCAAATGTCATGCCTGCCATTCATTATGTACTGTATACTGAAGTGCTGGAGGTTACATCTTATGTAAGAAACCCAAACTGTTAAACTGTCTATGGGGAATATCATTCTGCCAAGCCCAATCAAACAATGCTTAGCCAATAGCATGTTACTCTAGTTGCTGAAACTGCTGTAGAGAAGAACCACAATCATTCAAGAAAAAAGAACGAGGAGTACTCGTGGCACCTTAGCGACTAACAAATTTATTTGAGCATAAGCTTTCGTGGGCTAAAACCCACTTCATCGGATGCATGCAGTGGAAAATACAGTAGGAAGATACACAACACACAGAGAGGACATGAAAAAATGGGTGTTGCCATACCAACTATAACGAGAGTAATCAGTTAAGGTGGGCTATTATCAGCAGGAGAAAAAAAACTTTTGTAGTGATAATCAGGATTACCACTCTGAAACCTGTAACCATTCAAGAAGTCTCTCAAATTATGCTCTGTCCCTTTCTAACTCCATGTATATACATCCAGACAGGTGAGTTTTTTCACTTGAACTGCTATTCTTCCCCTGAAGAAATGGAATGGATTCAACAAAATATCTGACCTTATAAATACATTAGTTTCTGTCATTAGGGATTTAAATTTAAAAGTCTCAAAGCAGCTTAAGGCTTTCACTCTGGAGTGTAATTCCTAGGCTATCAAAAACTGATAGGTAGTGGTTCTTGTACTCAGCTCATTATGAAGCTAACTCTCCACATTAATCAGCTGTGTGTAATCCTTTTCTTTGTGGATTATTGGACTGCTTCTGAGCCTGACATGGCAATGTACAGTAATTCTCACTTCTCCTCTTTCCTTCTCTAAGGCTATCAGTGTCCTCCGGATATTTATCCCAAATCTCTCACACTTTTCGAGTAATAGTTAGGGATGGGCAAAACTGTTCTTACAAGATAAGAAGTGTCTGGAATCTCCTCCCCTTCTGTGAACCAAACCCAACCACCAAACCTTTAAGGGCTGTTGTCAGCCAGTGGTTAAAGTAAATTGAAATAAGATGGGAAGCCTTCATCATACCAGCCAAGGAAGGGGAGCTGCTGCTCACACAGACCAGGGGGAGGACTGGGGCGCTGTACAAGAGGTGACATTGGTTCTCTCCTGAGGGCCGGGGCAGATTGTGGGATGGAAGAGGAAGGGACATGTCAGTGGATCTACTCATATTCTGATCCACCAGCTGTTACTTTGGGGGCCCAGGGACTGGAGTAAGCCTGGAAACTGGAGTAGTAGCTGCTGTGCTGTGGTGAGAATTTCTTCTCTCTTTGTCTCCAGGGAATTCCCCAGCACATAGCAAGGCTCCTTGAGCTGGAGACGTGTTTTGGGCCTAAATGCAGCTCCCAAGGAGCTCCCTTTGAGGACTATAAACTGTTGCTGACAAAGGAAACCACAAACAAATTATTGATGTCCGAAGATTTGTTGTGTGTATAGAGCTATAGGCCTGAGTGAGACTCCAGACACTCTGTTGTTGTAGACAAATACTAGAATTAAATGCCTTCCCTGGACTTGCCCTGTGCTTTCTGAGCTTCAGGAACTAACCTGGCACCCTCGCTGATGGAATAAAACTCCACAATAGACATCTTCTCCTGCACTCTCTCCTATGGGCATGCAATCTCCCTGATAGCTTCTGCCAACATTCCTGCACCATCTCCACTCCCGGCAGTGAAACTTACAGCCTTCCTGGATGTTTCTTTCAGGCCAGGGGCCAATGACAACTTATCCAGGCTGACAACATCCCCTTTAGCAACCAAGAGAGAACTCAGTCCATTGTAAATTTGTTTATCATAAGTGTATTGAGCACATGGCCCTGTGTATTCTGTGGTTCTGGAGGCATGGAATTTACTGCAGAGTGCTGTACACAGGTTTCCTGGCAGGAAGAATTTGGTCCCTAAAAATGAAAGTGGTCTGTGTCTTTTTTAAGGCTTGTTCCTCTTGCTTAATATTAATGAAAGACAACCCTTGTTTTTCTTTATGCAGGTATGTGCCTATTGGCATTACATTCCTTGTTGGAAGCAAGATTGTAGAAATGGAAGATATTGTCCTTCTGGTAACCAGCCTGGGAAAATACATCTTTGCCTCAATTCTGGGTCACGTCATCCATGGAGGAATCATTTTGCCGCTTATATATTTTGCATTCACACGCAAAAATCCTTTCAGCTTTCTCTTAGGACTTATAACACCATTCGCAACAGCCTTTGCCACTTGTTCAAGGTATGCTATTGTGCTTGTTTCTGATATGGAATAATGGTATGCTAAATCCATGTTTTAATTTGAACAAGTTTCAGATGCAAATATTGGCCCTGATCCTGCAAAGGACTGTGGTTAGGTGTACAGTATGCCCCTTACAGATTCCCACTGATGCCAGGGGGACACCAGGATGGGTAACTATACATCCGGGCATAAGCTTTTGCAATATTGATGCCATTATTAGCAGTGATGTGCAGCCCATATTTCAACAATTTCAGCGACACGGTGTGTGGGACTGGGGAATCTGTTTAAATGGGAAAGCAAAGAAAATCTCTTTCCTAACCATAACCAAGGAAGAAGGCAACACCACTTCGCAAACAAGCTGTGCTCTTGCTGAGAATAGTTATACATTACTCTTGGCCAAACTTTTCAGAAGGGACTAGTGATCTGGGGTGCCCAATTTGAGGCATTATAAAAGGTCCCGATTTTCAAAAAGTACTGACCCCCGACCTGCCCTTTGAAAATCAGGCCTTTTTAAGACATCTCAAGTCAGGCACCCAAAGTCACTAGTTAGTTTTGAAAATCTTGGCCTAGAATTCTATGTAGCAGTACTATGGAAATAATAAAAATGCTAATAAACTGACAGCTTATGCACTGGGTTGGATAGGACTGTACTGCTCCATGATTGTCTTATTTCCTGTCTGTTTCTAGCTCAGCTACTCTCCCATCAATGATCAAGTGTATTGAAGAAAACAATGGAGTAGACAAGAGGATCAGTAGGTTCATCCTTCCTATTGGGGCCACTGTGAACATGGATGGAGCTGCCATATTCCAGTGCGTGGCAGCTGTGTTTATTGCTCAGCTGAATAATGTTGACCTCAATGCTGGACAGATCTTTACTATTCTGTAAGTTGCTTGTGATTCAAACCACATCTCCCTGGCCCCCAAATGCCATGCTAAGCCTGGGGTCTTTCTGTTTTTAAACACAAATCATTTTTTAATACCTAGCAGTTCAAATTCCAGACCTACAGTTGCCAATTTTGGTTGGACGTATTCCTGGAGATTTCATCACATGGCATAATCTTTGATTCCTGGAGACTCCAGGACAACCCAAACCAGACCTCTGAACTGCAGTCTGTAAATTGCTGTGGAACATATTATCCAACAATACAAAAGGAGTCTTTCAAGCTTTATAAATCTCGTTTTGACGTGTACTGGAATTTAGGGAGGTTTGATAGATTTGGAGATTAAGGGCTAGATCTGAATCTTAAATGGATACTGAACATCTCAAAAACACCATTTGTGCAGAACTCTTCCCTCCATCTCAAGCTCCCCTTTCCCCATCCTCTGGCCAACAAGCTAGGTAATTCCATGGCCTCTCCTATGCCCCTGCCCTCCGTATCCTCCTTAACCCCTTGTTCTCTTTTACCTTTCGTGTTTGGATACCAATAAGTCACTTCTTTCTTTACAACCAATCCAAACCCTGTCCTTTCCTTCCCGTCCTCACTGCTAATAGCTGTGTTCCTCCCTGCCTTGATAATTTCCCACTTTGTCTACGGTAACTTCCCTTTCTCTGGCCTTTCCAGTGCCCATGCCGCTGCCCTCCCGTCGATCCAGAATGCTGCCCTTGAGTTCATCATCTGCATGCAGCACTTTGACCACATTGCTCCCCTGGCGCTCCGTTTGGCCGCTCCACATCGCCTTCTGTGTCAGTTTCATACGCCTTGCCCTCACGTGCTGGGTGCCTCTGCCCTGGCCTGTGTCCCATCCCTAGCTTTCCATGACTGCCTTGTTCGGAGCCTTTACTCCGCCTATCACTTTACATGTTCCTTTTGTGCCCTCCTGTTTGTCTATCAATACTGCACCCATCCCTGTGCTAATCAAATACCTTCTCCCGCAAGCACCCTCATGCTGGGCTGTCCCTTCCACACCTGAAATACCCTATATACCATGAGCCGTCTTTTTCCTCCTTCAGATCCCTCCCCAAGACCCTCCAAAATCCCTCAGTGATCTCACAAATCATTTTAACACCCCTAAGCCACCAACGTTCTGCATTCCGCAGACATCCCTGGGACATATTCTGGGTGCTCCGCTTCCTTCCAGCCATCCCTATTCCTGTTATTTGCTTCCTTCCCTTGCTCTTTTGCCTGCATGTTGTCCATTTGGATCACTTAGGATACGTCTACACTTACCGGAGGGTCCGACGGCAGGCAATCGATGTTCTGGGATCGATTTATCGCGTCTGGTTTAGACGCGATAAATTGATCCCGGATCGATCCCGGAAGTGCTTGCCGTCGACGCCGGTACTCCAGCTCGGCGAGAGGAGTACGCGGCATCGACGGGGGAGCCTTCCTGCCGCGTCTGGACCCACGGTAAGTTCGGACTAAGGTACTTCGAATTCAGCTACGTTATTAACGTAGCTGAATTTGCGTACCTTAGTCCGAAGTGGGGGGGTAGTGTGGACCAGGCCTTACACTCCTCTGGGCAGGAACAGATCTAATTCTGACTGCAAAGCATCCAGCACACTTTGATTGCTGTTATCATTTTTCATGTAAATAGTAGAGATACACCGTGATGCACGTTGCTCATCTGAAAATACACTGGTAGTATTCGCAGCAGAGTCATTACTTGGATAGCTAGTTTTGATTCTTGCAGAATAACAGCACTCAGTACCCAACAGTATTAATTTCTATTATTGGACATCTGCAGAATACATGGCCCGATACGGAAGAATTTGTAGAGAAAGAAGTTACATTTGCCCCCCTCCTTTTGCTTTGGTTAAAATTGACACTGTAGGAAAATAGGCACCGTAACCATTGAATGAGTGTGTTACTGAAACTGCACTAACGCGTGTTTGAAAACATTCTCAGTGTGACTGCCACTGCAGCCAGCGTTGGAGCGGCTGGAGTCCCAGCTGGAGGAGTTCTTACCATTGCTATTATCCTGGAGGCCATTGGACTTCCCACCAACGATGTATCCTTGATATTAGCAGTGGACTGGATTGTGTAAGTACTGTGTAATATATATCTGCTGCTGCATATGTAATTGGAAGCACAGCACTTGGGGAACAAAAGCAATAGTCTAGAAAATAAAAACGCAAATCTCACAGTTGTATATCGAGTTTACACACACACACACTCTCTCTCTCTTCACCAGAAAAGGCCAAGAGTAACATAATTCAGTTTCAATTAAATAAGAACTGTGGGGCAGATCCTAAAGTACTTATTCAACTTGTACTTCATCTTTGCTGAGATGAAATTCCCATAGATGCTAGTTCCCTTAAGAGGAATTATTTAGAGCTGTACAAAGGGTATTGCTAGAAATTAGATGGAAGAAAAAGAGAACTGAGGCTGAATAATGGAGGAAGCTTCCTGAGCATTGGATTCATTAGGCGGTGCGACAGTCTCCTGGGGAAAGCAGTACACATCCTGTTGCTTCAGACATTTAAAAGTAGGTTAGACAAAGGACTGGGAACAATCCTACATTGGCAGAAGAGTGGAGTCAGGGGACAAGCAGTGATCAGAAGACAGAGCTGATATTGCTGCATGAACATGTTATTGGACAGGAGCAATTTTCATCAGGAGTTTAGTTAGCTATTTTTTGCACCTCTCCTTTCTTTGCTGTTGGAAAGGGCCAGATAAGGCCCAAATTCTGACGTTCTTATTCAGTTCTGCTCAGTTCTTACCAAGACAAATCTCCCTTCTGAAATCAGGGGAAATTATCCTACAGCCTAACAGATCCCAGCGTGAAGAGTCTGATCCTGCTATTCAGCCTAACTTTCTTCTCGTGACTCTTAGATTTACCCTCTTGTACCGCCCTAAATAACTCCTCTCTCGGGGGAAAGGTTAAAAGCCTCCATTTGTATAGCTCAGTTAAGTGACATGGGGACCATCTGCGAATACCTGAGAGGTGTAGATAGCTCTCCGGTCACTTTAACTGAGCTATCCAAAATGGGGCTCTTCGCCTTTCCACTCAACCAACCTCTTACCCCCTTTAATCATTGCTGTCCGCCTGTGAACTCCCCCCAATTGGTGCCCATGCCTAGCTACAGCAAAGTTTCACCCACTGACTCTGAACCCCTCCGTGCCCCGATGGCCAGAAAGTGTATCAATCAATCTTAATAACCTAGAAAGCCTAACATTAAAGTACTTTAACACTGACCTGGGAGTGCTAGTGAAATAACAGGTTTACAGTGCGCTGACCTAGTCTGCAGTCAAGACCATTGGCTGGAGAAGCCTATTGAGACAAATCCTTGGCCCAGGTTATTGTTGGATGCACAAGGCAAGAGAAAAGGGCAACAATCATTTTTCCTTCCCACCTCACCCCCACCCACTTTGTCCTCATTGTGCAGGGCCAGCCATAGTCGCAGTCCTTGTGCTTCCTAGAGGCACTGGCCTTGTCACCTAGGGCACTAGCCACTTTAAAAGGGGTTGTGGGAGGAGGCAAAGCAGTAGCCCCACCCCCCTCCCTCCACATGTGGCCACATGACGCACCTTCCTGACGGGTGTGACAGTGGCTGCACCGTCCTCTGTGGGCCTGGGAGCTGCAGGAGTCGTGGTGCATAGGGCTTCCCCGTGCTCCCTCTACGTCTGGATGGCTCTGAGCCCACTCTTCATTGAGGACTAAACTGCGCTCTCTGAGTATCACGTGCCTCCTCCACACAGTCCCCTTCCCTTCGTAGTACACAGCAATGCATTGCTGTCAGCACTACACGGGAAGCAGCCTGGTTGTTGCAGCTGATGTGGTTATAATGATGAGGATGGTGGGGCGGGAGGGAAGTAACCTTGTGACTCATTTTATTGCAAAGCGTTGAATAAACAAGTAGTACCAAGTCACAAGTTAAGCACATGGTGAAATTAGGCCATGAGCAGACTGAGTGAGGTCCCAAAGCAGAGAGGGAAGAAATGTGCCTGTTCTTAGCAGATAGCCGTTGTTTTAATCCTCTCTCCCACTTCAGAGCGACAACGTGATCCGGAAACCTCCTTCCATTACACTGTAGCCTTGTCACATTCGCTTGTGGTGCATGGCCAAGGGGCAGCAGGATGGGACATGGTGCCAAAGCTCAGACAGCAGCACTAGTGATGGGGGAACCCTTTGTGCCTGATTTCATACTCACCTGGACATCATGGGGTGGAAGGTCTGACTCAGGCTAGAACATCGCCAGGTTTCACTGCGCTTAGAGGAGGCCGGAAAAGGAATGGAGCAAAGGCAGTGAAACAATCCAGTGAAAGCTGGATGAAAAGCTGGGCCCAGTGGGACAGAGGCACTAATGAAAAGGAGCTCAGTGGGGGAGAAGGAAAGGCATGAACAGAGCCTGTCTACGTCCTGGAACAGGGCCCCCACATGTGCTCGCTGAGCTTTTGGGTGATGTAGATATTACAGGCTTCCCTTCAGTTAAAAACAAAGAGCCCAATTCATCCATATCCAAACTTGGCAGCCTGCCCCACCTCTGTGATGGAAGACTAGCAGTGGGCCATGAGTGGCCATTCAGGGGACTCAAGGTCAGGAATGGATTCAGGGCTCTCTCTTCCTGTGCTGGTGGAGACAGGTGTGGAGGGAGGGAAGTGGAAGCAGTGGGATAGTGGAGAAAGCCCATCTGTCTCAGGGGAGATCCCTTGTGTCCCCCCTGTCTAGAGGTGAAGTGTTACACTGGCAGCTGCAGAGGAAGCATAGAGATTGAGAACAGCCAATGCTAATAGTTGGAGCCACCCATAAAACACGCTACATTTCTATAATACTTAAACTATGATGATACCTATAGAGAACAGCTAATGCCCCTGTCAATCCACGAGTATTCCTTCTGTCTCCATTGTCTTCAGTGGCGTTACACTAGGGATGAATTTGGCCCCATGTATTGAATTGTATTGCTTAAGTTAAAAGGGTGCCTATGTGCTTTTGCCATTGACCAGGGACCGAACTACCACTGTTGTGAACGTTGAAGGAGATGCCCTGGGAGCAGGTATCCTTCATTATCTGAATCAAAAAGAAAAGACGGTGAAAGAGCAGGAGCTAATTGAAGTCAATGTAGAAGCGATTCCCAACTGCAAATCTGAAGGGGAAACATCACCTCTGGTAACACACAGGAACCAAGTCCCCACCCCAGCCAGCACTGCGGAGCCAGAGTCAAAAGAATCAGTACTGTGAACTCGGGAAAAACTTGCAAACAGGTGGACTGCTGCCTTGTTAACATGCTAGACCATTTGCACTGTTGTTAGGGACTAGCTGTGTGTTCACCTTTTGAGTTTCAGTGGCAATGATTTGAAGCTACAGACTTGTTAGGCGTATGTCTGTCTATCTCTCCCTGGAGAGAGCAATCACTTCATAATGATGTTATGATGTTTCCTACAACACAGGTATGTGTGTGGTGTGTGTACATGCATACATGTATATGACAACAGTACCAATAAGGATTCTTTTTGGGGGTTAAAAAGATATTTATTAGTAAAAGTCCATGGGGAGGGGAAAAGAGGCTAACAGAGAGGACATACTGGTTGTAGATGGAATTTGCACCACAAACAGGTCTGAGAACTAGGGGATCCCAAATGGCAGGGTAATGTTATGCAGGAACCAGTACTTTCTCAGAAACACCTATTTAATAGTATCAAGTGGGAAAATAGAAAGTGCATTTCTAACACACACACCCTCCTTGTCCTTTGTGCACACATTACAGCAAATAAATACTGAAGACCAGTCATTTTAAAATCCAAATTAATAGCTCAGAGGAATCTGATCTTCATTCTATTGCCAGGCAACTTTATCAAAACATCCCCAGGAAGCAGACATTGTGGCAGCGTTCGCTCTCTATTCTCCTAGCTTTCGGTGACAGAAATCAACCCCACAGCTTTAAACTCTAAAATAACAAAGATTGGATGCAGACAAAAGATCTGCTTTACTCCCTATTTAAAACTGACAAACCAATTTTAAGCCAGTTTTGGCAAAGTAATTACACTTGGGCTGAGAACTTCTATAGCAAGTTACAGTATAACTGTGTCTACAAGAGAATTGTCTATAACAACACTGAGTGACAAAGACTTCAGCTCTACGCACCTAAACACACACGTGCATCTACTGCCCCTCGAAACTGTTCATGTTTCTTTAATGGCTCAAGTCAGATGTCCTGGGACACATCCTTTTCCAAGCAACATTTCTCAGACGAGAAAGGAATCTCAAAACTCAAAATGGGGAAACTGATGAAAAATCCAAAGCATTATCCCCTGGATGGCCAGAGTAGGGACTACTGATGGCATGAGAGGGGAAGGCGTGAGGAGTCCAGTGATTCCTGCTAATCCTGCTGGCTCTTGGGACGGCTGTGCCTCCCCCTCTTTGTACGCTGCCCTGGTGTCCCTGTCCCTTCGAGCAGCAGAGCCAGCTTGACGGTTGTGCTGCTGTTAGACCCCTTGTCTGTAGCAGTTCACTCTTCTCGTGTCCGTTCTTACCACAGGAGGTGGAAGAAGCCATAGGCCAGGACTTAATGGTGCAAGTTTTAATTCCTACAGGGTATTCTGCCTGAAATTGAACCAGCTGCTCCCTGACTTCTACACTGCCCCCACAGGGCCAGAGCCACGGCTCATTGAAAGCAATGGCCAGACTGCCACAGAGACAGGGCCCCAGAATGAACACTGTTCAAAGGGTGGGGCTTCCCTTTCCTCACCCGTCAATGCAATGCAGAGCCCCGGCTCCTCTCCATGTGAGCCTCCCAGGCGTGGTTAGCATGATTATTGCTTGTGGAACAGAGGGGAGCAGTTGTGCTATTGTTGGCTTGTCTCAGCAATGAACGTTTACCCTGGGTAAAAAGCAGCAATTCTCTCCCTTAGTCTTCCTTTACCAACTGCTACACAAGGTGTACACGGGGATCACAGCCCACACCAATGAAACGCAGCCACCTGTGAGGTGAAATGAATTGTGCACAGCAATGCTACACACGTGCTTAAGATAGGAAGCGAGGAATGAGTCAGTCAGCTCTGAAACTGCACATAGAATTTATTCCTTTGATTTAAACCCATGTTCAGAAAAAACGAGCACACGACACTCCTTGACTCGTTTTAAAAAGACAGTGGTATAAAGAGACTCTGTGCTCACCACCCAGCACCTGACAGTAATATCACAATCTTACAATCCCCCGTAAGATTCCTCCCAGTTCCTCTCAGCTCAGGAACACAAAAGGGACCTTACCGCCTGTCCTGAAGGTCAATACACTAGGGATATTTTGGACCAACGTGGGGTACGACTCTTAGATTGGCAGGCCCCTGACAGAATACCCTGCCCCCTCTCTCTGGGGTGCCAACCCAGTTGTCCCTATTCCACAGTCCCAACTGTGGCAGCATAGCGTGTTCATTAGGTCCCAGGCCATTGAGGGCCTTATAGGGCAAAGCGCATAGTTCAGATTCTACACAGGACCTAATAGGTTGCCTGGGCCGATCCAAAAGCACGGGTGTCATGTGTTCCCCATGGGACATACCCTGTAACAAGCGAGCTGCGGAATTCTGCACCAGCTTCAGTTTCTGGATAGATTTTAGATGGCGCCTCATATAAAGCACATTGTGTTAGTTACATTGAGGGAGGTAGGCCAATTACTGGAGTTGGAATTTAACCAAGGCTAACACTCCTGCTTGTGCAAAAAAGTGCCAGAGGATTTGTATGGACCACAAGATTGTTCAGGACCATTCTTCTTAAATGTTCAAGAAATCTGGAATCTTGCAGGTAGCAAAACTATTTTAAGCTTGTAAAATGAGCCAGTCCTTTCATTATTCTAATGTAGCAAGAAACATCCAAGAGATTCCCTGGAAAATCACTTTCTCAGTGCTAGTCAAACTACACATGTCTTTTGATAATCCTTGTCATAAGTAATATTTCTCATTGTCTGCTCTTATACATGATGTTACTTGCCTTAAACACTGTGCAGTCCTATATGATGGCGTTGTCATTTCTACTTGGGTGTTCCTTTTGTTTGTACTCTTTGAGTTGCATGTACTATGCAAAATTGTAATGGATCCAAGGTTATAGTATCTTTAATGCAAATGAGATTGTACATTTTAGCAGCTGTCCTTGTTGTAACATGGGGCCTGATCGAAAACCCAATTAAGTTGATGAGAAACTTTCTGTTTACTTCACTTGACATTAAATCAGGTCCTTAAAATAACATCATTACCAAAAAAATTATATAAAAGGTCCTTGAAGCGTCTTCACTGTTCTTATTGTGTAGGACTGGCCTGGTATTCGGCTATAGTACTTATGATGCACCAGACCGTATTACACAAAGAACACCGTATTTCAGAGCACTTTACAGAAGCTGTGGCAAAGGGACTGCATGTTGGCAGACAAAGCAGCTGTGTGTGCTCAGCAGCCAGGCCAATAAAGCCAATCACATCTGTACTGCTGCCAGCACAGATCACCAGGATTTCTTTGAAATATTGATACGATCTGTAAACAATTCCAATTCCTTTGCATGAATGTGTATAATTGAGTTGTACAATTTCACTGGTCCCTTCCTTGATTTGTCTCCAGGCTGAAAACATGTTGAGTCAATTGATTTTCCTTCCATTAATATACCAGTTCCCTTGTGTGAATCAGAATCAGAAGGGGCAATTGCTGTCCCTTCTCCTTGGAGCCAGCGTACTCCACAGGGGTTGAAAGATAGCCCTCCCTCAACAGACTCCAGGGTGCTATGGCATCTTCTGAGGTTGTGCCCTCCCTTTCCTGTGGTTGCACTCTCTAAGGGGAGGGAGCCAGGGACCAGGATCATGGATAACGGCATAGTTTAGGTGCTAAGGCCCTCACTTAACCCTATTCAGCACTGGTGCAGCTGCATGGATTTCATTGAGGTTACTACTGATTTATACCAGTGAGAGGGGAGGCAGAGAGGGACCATAGGTGGGATTAGAAGATCTACCAGGTTATCCACAGCTATCTCAGACTCTCTGGTTTAGTGGTGGGTTTCTCTGACACAAGACCATTGTTTTCTTGATATCATTCCTGGAAACGTTATTCCACAAAGCGCTATTTCCACAGTATGACCTCACCAGCCTATTCCAGCCAGCAACGCTCGTGCAAATACTGATTGCAGAAGTGGCTGGCACTTCTGAGTGTGACATCAGAGAAGAGAGTGCCACATTGTTGTTCAGCGGGTAGAGGTTCTTTGGAGACTTCAAGTAACCTGCCTTTGCTTTGGGTAGGAGGCTTCCTCTGTAATGGGAAGTATGTAAAGTTTCCTAGTTCGAACAGTCCAAGAAGTTATATAAACAGGAGTATTCTAGTCCTTCTTAGGATTCATAGATTCATAGATTCTAGGACTGGAAGGGACCTCAAGAGGTCATCGAGTCCAGTCCCCTGCCCTCATGGCAGGACCAAATACTGTCTAGACCATCCCTGATAGACATTTATCTAACCTACTCTTAAATATCTCCAGAGATGGAGATTCCACAACCTCCCTAGGCAATTTATTCCAGTGTTTAACCACCCTGACAGTTAGGAACTTTTTCCTAATGTCCAACCTAAACCTCCCTTGCTGCAGTTTAAGCCCATTGCTTCTTGTTCTATCCTTAGAGGCTAAGGTGAACAAGTTTTCTCCCTCCTCCTTATGACACCCTTTTAGATACCTGAAAACTGCTATCATGTCCCCTCTCAGTCTTCTCTTTTCCAAACTAAACAAACCCAATTATTTCAGCCTTCCTTCATAGGTCATGTTCTCAAGACCTTTAATCATTCTTGTTGCTCGTCTCTGGACCCTCTCCAATTTCTCCACATCTTTCTTGAAATGCGGTGCCCAGAACTGGACACAATACTCCAGCTGAGGCCTAACCAGAGCAGAGTAGAGCGGAAGAATGACTTCTCGTGTCTTGCTCACAACACACCTGTTAATACATCCCAGAATCACGTTTGCTTTTTTTGCAACAGCATCACACTGTTGACCCATATTTAGCTTGTGATCCACTATAACCCCTAGATCCCTTTCTGCTGTACTCCTTCCTAGACAGTCTCTTCCCATTCTGGATAGCAGGTGTCAGCATATAGGGACCTGTGGGTTTCACTCTGGTACTTTGAACATCGCTCAGGCTGTCAGTGTGAGGAGCAATCTTTATATTGCAGTTCCAAAGTGCTGCTGTTTTTATTATGACGTTGTGGTGTGGCCCTTTTCCCAATTAAGTCTGTCAGTTTGCTGTGATTCCGCTGTGGGATGTACTACGGGAGAGAATGCTTCTGGTTCAGAGAGACAGCCTGTGAGAGGCAGGGTGGGCTAGAGATAAGTATGGGATTGGTGGCCAGGAACCCCTGAGGTCTAGTCCCAGTTCTGCCACTGACTCAAATCACTTAACTTGTCTGACCCAGATTCTCATTTACACTAGGTCGACACTAGAAGCGCTACATTGGCGCAACTTCAGTGATGCAGCTGCTCCACTGTAGTGTGTCTGGTGAAGACGCTCTATGTCAATGGGAGAGCGCTCTCCCATCAGCACAATCACTCCACTTCTGTGAGAGGCGGAAGCTATGTCGGCATCAGTGCCTAGGTCGCTGTCATTTGCACCGCTCAGAGGGTGTGTGTCTTTTTCACACTCCTGAGCGATGTAAGTTACATCAACTCAAGAGGTAGTGTAGACCTGCCCTAAGACTCCTTTACAACAATTTGGCACTGGGACTTCAATGTCTGTTTAAACTTCCAGCATGATGTAAAGAGGCCTTAGGTTAAAAAAGAGAATCTATCCCTCTCTCCTCATTTCCCTCTGCAAATGGAGACAGCACAGTACGAAGCCACACCTGTGTGTGTGAGTCGCTGTTCGTGCCTCGGAAGCATTGCAAGGAGTGAGTCTGAAACACAATTTCAACACATGAAGTGCTCCATTAGCCTATTCCAGGCTTGAGGAAATGCAAATCCCTGCACTCTGGCAAAGATTTGTGGGGGGGCCAGGCAGAGTGCAGAGATTTGTCTGGTATACAATTATTGAGAAATAAGCAGAGTATGCCAATTCCAGGCCTCTGATAAGCCGCTACTGGCTATTAGCCATTAACACAGAGAAATAACAGTACAATTCTGGATCACTGACTGTCCCACTTTTCTATATGCTGAATGGCTGAGGCAAAAGCTTCTCCGTATAATGCACATCAGCTTTTATATAACCAGAAAGAGGACTTTGTTGAGTGTATTGATGAGAACCATGTTCAGTTGCCACTTCATTTTCATGGAAGAGAGAAGGCGGCAAGGGAAATGATTCCAAGACCTTTCCCAATGTTGGACAGCACATTGAAGGAGCTTGCCCTCTATATATTCCACGTGATGCAAACGGCTCAGAATTTGTCTAGCTACAATAATGCCATCTTCACACCTGAAGAAGTTATACAGCTCACACTGATATTAATTCTTTACGCATCCATTGTGCCGCCCACACACAGATAGCTACGGACATTTGTGATGGGCAAGTACTATCGTCCCCTTTTACGGGTGCAGAAATGAATGCACAGCAACGTGAACTGACTTGCCAAAGGTCCCCAGAAAGTCTGAGACAGAGCTAGGAATAGAACTCAGTTCTCCTGACTTCCAGTCCGGTGCATTAGCTAGAAGTCTCTCCTTCCCCTCAAAATAAGGAATATGTAGTGGATGCAGAACATCATTCTGGGGTTAATAAATTGGGCAGGGAATATTACTGTTTGAAGTTGAGGAAATATGTCACAGACTCTGGTTTATACTGGGTGGAAAACTAAAAGTGAAGAGTTAACGTAAAGGTTCATCTTTCACTTGAGCTGGAGTTCCCACAAGCTAAGAAACATGAACTGAGGGTCTCATTCATTTGACACATATTCCCTTGGTTACGTCCCGACAGGCCTGATTCTGAGGTTCTGAGCATCCTCAAACAACAGCGTGTGCTATTCATATTTTACCACTGATTTCAGTGAGAGCTGAAGAGCCTCAGCATCTCAAGAGGATGAGACCCCATATGCCTCACTCAACAAAAATGCACAGTAGGCTTTTCCAGGTAAGCAAGTTCTCAAAGGGCCACAGAAGTTGGCTGCAAGGCAGGCTGGCCTACTCATACAAAAGGTCAACCTGCTATAGAAACCTGACATAGGAAACAACTGCAAAGGCAACCCTGTATTAAAGCAACATGAATGTTATGGTTTTAAACCCACAGAGGCCAGGAAATACAGCATGAAGGCTCCCAGGATAACGTTCGCTCTGCCCTTTTGCAACTCTGCGTTATGACAAGGTCTTTCATCACATAGTCGAATAAGGCTGATCAGAGCAACATACTATTTAGCTAATATTTACTTTGTGAACAAAGACGAACTATGTGTACATAAAACCTACGCTAACTGCAGTACAAATTGCAGAACTAAATATGAGATCTTTCCAGAATGCTTTGCTACAAGGAAATTTTATACACATTGCCAAAACCCCCTAAGTATTAAACACATTCACACAAAAAGAACAGTATTCATATTGTGTAACAATGAAAATAGCCCCAAATATTAACTAGTACACACTGGAGCTTACATCAGTACTAACAGAAACTCGAATTGCTGGGCCAGATCTTCATCTGTCATAAGTCACCATAGCCCCATTGATTTTGATGGACTTGACTTCAATGGTGATACCTCAATTTACACCAGCTGAGGATCTGTCCCAATATTTTTTTCATTTTAAGAAGCTACTGTTCATGAAAATGCCCATCGTGTAATAAAGAGGAAAGGGGTGCGTATTTTCAAAGATTGTGGGACATACCCAGAGGCATCTTCATCATGGGGCACTCATCATTAGCCAAGTAGCCATGTAAACTGGATCCACTCAAAGAAGATTAGTTCTGGAGATGAATCAGCCCTGATCCCCAAGAAGGTGGCCCTAATTCCTTGGATTCATTTCCCCACTCTGTATTCTGCCTGCAGAGGTGACTCCTGCCGTAGTAGTTGCTGCCGTGGGGAAGAGATCAGAGCTAGGCCCAGGGCCCTTTAGTGCATTGTGAGTAAAGTTACCACTGTCTCCTCTGACTTGGCTCACCAGTGCTGGAGTGTCTTATGGCCTGCTGCGGGGAGATGGAGTCATGGATTCCAACTCTGGGAGAGGGGCTGGGCTGAACAGCTGCCTAGAGACAACATGACCAGACCTGAAGAGCAATTCACCCTTGGGAGCTAAGCAGGGTTCCATGGTTAATG